ATCAGCCTCTGATTTACCTGAACGTCAGCCCCTGATTTACCTGAACATCAGCCTCTGATTTACCTGAACGTCAGCCTCTGCAGTGTGTTTTAGCTCTGGGAATCTCATGCTGGTGTTCTCAGATGGATCAGATGAGCTTAGGTCCACATCATCAATGTCAGTCTGAGGTAACGCCTCATCAGACACCTCTGAACTCAGAAGCTGGCCACTGGCACCCAGATCTTTGCTCCGTCCGTCGTCATACGACCCTCCTGTTTTTCCAGTTTTATTTTTAAGTGGAGCAAATGATGTTAATCTAGCTTCACTCTCATCCACTGACCTGCCACCTACATGTCCACTCAAACCAGTAGCGCCAACAGAATCAGGAACATCTAGTGGTTTGATTGTAGCGCTAGCAAAGCTATACTGGAGTTTTTGATGCTTGCTGTCTGAGTCCTCACTAGACTCACTGTCTTTACTCTGGGTTTTCCCAGCATGCATCTGTTCTGCCTGAGCTTTGGTTTCATCTTTGCCATCATAACGTCCATCAATAAGGGAGCAGGGAATCACTTTGTTGTCATCAGCCTGAATAAAGTCTGTTTTGGCGTCTTTCTCATCGACTGACGTTCCGTCTTCGGGGTTCAGTGACGGCAAATTGACATCAGTTGGAAGTGACGTTAGCTGCTTCTCTGAATCAGCACTTTCATCTTCCCAACTACTGCTGCCCCCTTCCTCCTTTTCAGAATCAAACCTTTCTTCCATTTTCAAGAAAGACGCTGCTGGTTCTCCGTCCTCAAACGCTGCCTGTTCTGGGCTTTCATTCTCGGGTGCTACCAGGGAGGGGTCACTGGATTCTTTATAAATCCTGTGTCTGTCCTCTTCTTCCAAGGAGAATTGGTGCGTTTGTTTCACCTTACAGTGAGCCTCAGCAGCTGCTTGAGAATCAGCTGAGGTAGCGTCATATTTAGCACCAGGATCTTCTTGGTTGTCGGCTTCAGAAGAATCCCAGTCAGATTCACCTGCAGTTGCTGCAGCTGGTTTGATTCGAGCCTCAGGAGAACTTTGCAGACCTGGTTTAGCAGATGGCGATAGAGGTGAGGAAGACTCCCATGAGGTAGCATGCTGCTCCACTTCTGGAGGTAAAGAAGCTGCTTGCAGCTGCTTTCCCAGTGCTGGAACATCCTGTTCTTGTTGTAGGACGTGATCATCTGCCTGCCTCTCTTCAGGTTCGTCGGCGTCACTTCCCTCCATCGAGGAGCCCCATGAGGATCTACGTTTAAAAGGCTCCCTCTCTGACGATCCATGGTCTTCCACATCAGATTCAGTGTTTTCTCCGACCTTGGCTAACAGCGATCTTGGAACAGCGATCAAAGCGCTGCCGCCCATTCCCCCTGCTTCATTGCCTCCCTGATCATCATGGCTGTCTGCACTGTTTTGCTTATCGCTCAAGGAATCCTTGTCCTCATCTCCTGTTTCTCTGTCTGACCCTACATCTTTGATCCTGCCAGCTGACCGGACCCATCTTTCTGTTGGACATTGATTTGGATTGATTTGGAGATGTGATGGCTTCATGCATTCCTCGTCTTCATCAGACAGCTTAGATTCCACCCTAATGGCAGAAACAATGCAGTCCTCTGCAACATCTAGTGTTGCTGGCCGGGCAAAGCTTTGGGCTCCATCGGGTCTGTTGAGATCCGTGTTTTCTGCCTCTGCTTTGTCACTTTTCTCCGATATATAATTAATCTGGAGTTTTACAGCAGACCCAGTGGGGGGAGGGGAATCAGTGTAAGGAGCGTTTTGAGCATCAGCTGTGCTATAATCCACCGTAGAGCCTTCTGCCTGAGATTCATAAGCCTCATTTTCCTCCTCTTCTTCACTTTCATCACTTTCTACACTCTCCTCCTCTTCCTCCTCCTCATCATCCTCTTCTTCTTCTTCCTCCTCCTCTTCCTCAATTTCTTCTTCCTCTGCGTCTTCTTCAGAGTCCTCACTGACAGAGGCTGCCTGCTGGGAGTTGTTAGCCCCTAAATATCGCTCTCCTTTTACTCCTTTTACTGAACTTTCTCCTTATTTTTTGGCATTCAGGAAAAAAAAACAGAAGGAGAGAAAGTCGTCACAAGAAAAGCTTTTTCACAAACAAATGTACCTTTCTAGCGCTTGGGAGAGGAGTAGAAGCCATCCAGGGTGATTTGGGAAGAAGGGAGGAAACGGCTGGGAGATCTACTGGGTGCTGAGGAGAGGCTGGGATTCTTTGGACACCAGTTTCACTTTCCTCCTCCGATTCTGTGTCACTCCGGGACATTTCGGGTAGCACAGGAGCTACGGGGCAGGCGGGGATCAGAGATCGCTTACAAAAGATGACTAAACTAGTGATTCTTGTTACCTTTTCCCATTTTAGATCCAAATATTTGGCTGATCTTAGATGGTTTCTAAAATTCAGAAAAGTAAAACTGAACGTTAAATTCCAAGAATATTAGCTGCTGTGTATGATGGGAAATAAGTCTTTCTAACCTTTTCTGCAGAATCATCCTCATCCTCTGTTGAAGGCCACTCATCATTCGCACTTTTAGAAGCTCTAAGAGGAAAGAAAATACTTTACAACCAGGAAATCAGTCACAAAGTTTAAATGCAACAAAAGAAACATGCATACCGACTAACTGACTCTGACAAGGAATCATCTTCCAAATCTGCAAAACAAAATAAAACATTTGATTAAAAGGATCATTCAGAGGGATTTATAGAAAACAAAGGAATAAGCAGAACTAAACTTTAAAATGATAGAAGTATTATTGTTCTATTTTAAACTGAAGCATCAACTACTAACACAATGGTACAAGTAGGGCTGAGACTAACCATTATTTTGCTAATTAATTAAACAGTCGATTTCTTTCCGATTAATCGATTAATAATTAGATAGTCAAAGGATAACAAAAGAAATGTAACCAACTGAACTAAAACTTTTCCACTTGAGGAGTTTTGGATTATAGAGCAGATTGACAGAAGATTTTTTTTTTAATCTTAAATGCAAAATGTTAAAATGTTTTCTTTATAATCTCTGTATAATTGGTGCTCTAAGTGAGTCGCTCTGTCAGCTAAAGGCCTGTTTTAGTCTCTATACTCCAGTTAATGATTAATTAATAACTAAATTAGTTTATGATTATGTCTATAATCTATTAATGCGATTAATTGTTTTAGTCCTAAGTACAAGTTTGATCAATTAACTTAGAAAAACAGCAATTGGACCAACACTAGACACAAAAGTTAACGTCTTAGACTTTAAGCTAATGAATCAAAAATGCCGTTCTTAAAAGTTTTAGCAGTTAAGGAAACAGGTTTTTAACCTTGATTTTAAGCTAGAAGTATTTTACAGTGTTTGAGGTGAAAAAGATGGAGTCAGTGGAAGGACGTTAGAAGTGGCGTGATGTGCTCCATACGTTGGTGACGACGCCGGCGGCAGCAATGATTCACTTTAAGCAGACTGACGACAATCAATTAAACTAATGGATTCAATTATCGAGATCCTGAAGAGAAATTAGTCCTTTAATCCTGGAAATGTTCTCAAATTGATAAAAGGGTGACCGACTGTTTCTACATGCCTCTGAAGGCCAAGATTTCCTGCCTTTATTAATCAGTCCTCCTTTGAATTAAAAAATATAAATTATATGTATTCATGTATTGTTTTTATTCAGCTGAAGTAAAGTTTAGCACAGCCATGCATTGATTTCCACTTAGCATTTATAAAGCTGAGTATCATCTGCAAAGTAATTTAGACTGTTTGCTATAATCGGAGCCAGAGGGAGGATGTATTTATAAGATAGAACATCAGGGAAGCTCACGTGATTTTTAAGGTCTCTGATGTTAAGTTAGAAAATCCTTAAATTTAAAGCAGTCAGGAGCTCCAGTAATATAACTGCAAGTCTTTAAGGTGCTTCTTTACACATCGTATGGACGCCACACTGTTTTCAGACTTTTCTTCTCTGCCTCTTTGAATCATTCTATCCCATAATATCCAAATAAGCAGCAACATCTAAATTTGTATGAAATGTGAAAAAGAGGTAATCAATCGCTTCATTTGGCCCTTTCAGAGTTTAATCATTTTCTCAACATTTCCAGCATTTAAAAGGCAGAAGGATTCTGTCTGAACACTGAAAGCGGTGAGCGTCTCGTCTGACTAGCAAAGCGATGGTCAGCGCGGCGTGCAGGAGATCAGGTCGACCCTGCGCCTGGTGAGCACAGTGGAAGACCATTCAACCTCTGCAACTGACTAAGATCATCCAAGCATAGTACCTCCCCCTGCTCCATTTGTTCCACGCTCTAGATCCAGTTATGCATGAGGAATAAATGAAACGATCAGATGGTCAGACATGAGGAAACAAACTTACTCATATATCATCTTATTACAATAAATGCCTACCACCTTTATTAGTGGCTGGTCCTCCTAAAGAAAAGCTTGTGTCAACATCTTGGGAAGGAAAAGCCAAAATGTTTTTCTTCTTGCTTGGACCTGGATGTGAGACGGAGGCTCTAGGAGTCTGCTTGGTTCCATGTTCTGTGATCAATAGACAACAACTGCAAAAAACAAACACAGTCATCTTATCAAAGCGCTGATTAAATGCATGATGAGTGAAGAAAATGATAAAACACATTTTTCTTTGCTTTGTCATTATTTAAAAACAATAAAACTAGATACACTTAAACTTAGATTACCAACCTGTTTGATGATCAGATATCGGTCATGTTAGTGAAAACAATCTATTTCTAAACATCAAATGAAACTCGGCTGCAGTGTAAACCTAAAATCTGCTCAGGTCACCTTTGCTTTGCATTAGTGGAAACCGTGGATCTGCTAACGGCATGAAAACCAGGCTGAAAACCGCTTCCAGACCAGGATCTAGACTTAGACTCAGCTTTATTTAATCGTTGGGATTACTCCTTCAGGGAAATTCTGCTTCCAGTAACTTTGGTTATTTGTTGCAACATTCAGTTGTGACAAATAATCAAAACCAGCAAAAATAATGTTTGTATAATTTAGTATAAATAAGTTTTGATATTTTAACAGGAATTCCAGTTAAAGGTGTGAGTCTTTCACTTTAATAGACCGTTGTTGCTTTAGAAATAAAGCTCACCTGTGATGGCCATTTCTTACTGCGTAGTCATCAGCTGACCAGCCTTTGTCGTCCTGAATCGTGACGTCTGGCTGGAACTGCAAGAGAAGCTTGACCATCCTGTGTTGCCCGCCGCCGGCAGCGAGCATCAAAGGAGACCTGGATGTGGAATCGATGGCAGCAGAATCACATGAAACACGGGGGTCATTACCCAGAGCTCACAAATGATTGTTTAATACTAGCCTGTGTTCTCGGTCCAGAGAATTCACGTCGGCCGTCTCTTTCAGGAGAAACTCGGCCATTTCTAACCGGTCCTCACGGACTGCTACGGTCAGCGGCGTGAAGCCCTCCTGAACCACAAATCAAACATCATTTGAAACTATAATCAAAATATGTTTTCAGAGGAAATATTTCTTCAGCAAAATGAGATGTAGAGGTAAATAAAAACAGCAGTAACGTCTTTGTAGAGGTTAGGCACCTTATTAAGTATTAAATATTCCCTTTAATGAACCAAAAATATAAAAGAAGCTTAACTTTTCTCGATAAAACTGTAAGAGTATAAATCCAATTCTCCAATCCGAAGCATTTCAACCAACTCTATAATTCAAACAGGAACGATAATCACCTTGTTTTGAGCGTTGATTTCGGCCCCATGGTGCAGCAACAGTCCTGCCATGGATAGCGATGGGATGTTTGCTGCTAAATGGAGGGCTGTGTTCCCATTGATGTCCTCTAGATTGGGACTGGCTCCATTTTCCAACAATATAGTCAAGCAGCCCTCATGCTGGCCCTGAACAGCCTGTGAACCAAACATAATGAAGGAGGAAGGAAATGGTGAAAAGAACCCCAGTGGAAAAGAAAAAATGTTATTTCATTGAGTTTAGGGAAGCAAAACCTTGTTGACTAATTCTGCCTTTAATCTGGGTCCTTTTTCCAGGTCCCAAACCTTCTAAAGATGATTAAACCAACTTCTGTCAAATGTCTGTAAATGTGGTCGAGGGGTAGACCATGCAGAGCCATAGACTCCTGCTCTAATTCATTCTCCCTTTGTCTCCCAAACATTGTCTATTTGGTTAATAGAATCATTGCTTTTATTATGTCACCATAATCTGCTAATAACGCACATTTAATGCAAAGACAACACAAATAGGAAAAAAGATGAAGGGCCTTAAAGAGACTTAAAAATATGATTCAAAAATAACAAGATAATAATGGAAAAGAATAGAGTGTAAGGCTTCATGTGACTTCAGTTAAAGGCCTACAAACACAACTGCACTGAAAAAACATCCCAAAAATAAAACAAGCCAGCAGTAACATTAGGAAGCTTAACTTTATCGCTCTATAGCATAAACATGAACAGCTGCTGTACTTTAATTTATTTAAGCTTTTCTGGATCAAACCAACCTCATACCTGATGTTAAAGCGCCGTTAGCTAAGCTAAAGCTAATTCCACTATGGTCCCCTGGTGACTTATGCTGTTTTTGCGTTTAACCCTTTTTTTTTTCCTTTTAATAGCAATTAGTCGCAGCAATAGAGCCAAGCTTCTCCCAGCAGAGGTGAGAAACGAAAGAGGAAACGTCCAGGAATTGACTGGTAATAAAAAAGATGCCCAGAGGGACGAGACACAGCAAGAAATAAAATCACTGGAACAAAAGCACTGGAAGCTACCAAATGATGGAATCATAAGAAAGTCCTGCCAGCAGATGGCAGCGGTGTTTGGGTTTCCTTGATGATGCCTGATGAAAAAATTATTTTCCAGCTTAAAAACAGCTGAATGAGTAACCAAGGCTGCGCTCACACTGCAGCTTTTAATGCTCTAGTCCATTTTTTTAGTGAAGTCAGATTCTTTAGTTTGGTCGTTTAGATTTCCAAATATGCGACTTATTGTGATCTCCTGTGTGAACCGCATTCATACAACTTGTCCTGCATGGCAGCAGAGGATGCAATGACGTCACAAGCAGCGACGGAATGTGATCAGCAACACTCCATGAGATAATAGAGAGGCTTCATGTTTTCTCTGAGAATCGTCGTTACCTTCATTAAGGCGGATCTGTGTTGATTGTCTCGTAGGTCAAGCTTGGCTTTGCTATCAACAAGGAGCTGCACCACTTCAGCATGACCAGTAGCACAGGCAACATGAAGCGCAGTTCTGTTAAAAAGAAAACAGTTTCTCATCATGTTACACATTTAACAGGCATTTTTTAAAATCTCCATATAAATAGAAATAAATCAAACAGATCGGAATCTAATTATTTATTTCGCTGCACTGAAAAAACCAAGAAATCCAACCAATTGATGCACTTTGATGCAGTAGTTTAACTTTAATAAAAATCATACACAGTTGAAATCAAATAATTACTTCTTAATTTTGTCTTTTTTTCTGAGTTCAAAACTCAGCAAAAGATTTTCATGTTTTCAAGATTTTTAATTTCTATTAAAGAATTTAATCCCAATCTTCTTATTTATGCTGTAAAATGACAAGATATTCTGACAATCTGTTCCAGTTTATCCCTAAACTGGAACCGATAAATCAGACTAATTATAATTAATCAATTAGTGAAATGATCATTAACTAATTTACTAATCGATTAATCGTTAACTTTAGTTTAGAGACTAAAACATGCCTTTAGCTTAAAGAGCAACCCACTCAGAGAAATTATTACCACAATTGTGAAAAAACAAACATTCTGCATCCAAAAATCTTTTTTTGTCCATTAATATGTTCTATCAGTCAGCAGGTCGGGTTTGGACCAGCCCTGGAGCTGACGGCTTGGTTCGCCCAATATGGTCCAGTCAGCGGCCCAGCCAAGACTGTGAAAATGTTCCGCTTTCTCCGGTCAGCCTGGAACGCTGTATTTCCACCTGTGGTTCATCTTCAATAGAGAAACTTCCTGCTCTCTAATTCTAGTAGAAATAAACCCAACTGTAGGCTAAACAGCTAAACTGCTGTCTTCCATCTACCTCTATTCTCTATTCTATTCTTGGGCCAGTGAGCTGGTCTGGATGCCAATATCAGCGCGACAAAACTACCGGCCACAACCAAATAAGGCAAAACATCCCCGAGTTCACGTCAATTAGGTGCTTCGTTTGGATTCACCCGTTTTATAAAATTCCAGACCGGATGAACCTCCATATAAAAGCATTATTCCAGACCGGATGAACCTCCATATTAAAGCATTATTCCAGACCGGATGAACCTCCATATTAAAGCATTATTCCAGACCGGATGAACCTCCATATTAAAGCATTATTCCAGCCTAAATGAGGCCAAACAACCAAGAAATGGTTAAAAACAAGGAAGAAATCATCTCCATTGTGTCTTAGCAGCAGCTAATGCACATCATTACCTGCTTTCCTTGTCAACTTGATTGACATCATTTTTCTTAAGCAGCTGCTTCAGCTTTGCCAAGTCAGCCTGGAGGGCAGCTTTGTGGATTTTGCCCAGATCTTTGTCTTTCAGGTCGTAGCCATCAGAGAGAGCGCTGACATTGTCAGAGGTTCCAGATGAGTTCTTCTTTTTCTTCGTAAAGCCGAATAACTTCTTCATTTCCCAGAGCAATCCCAGCTGCCTCTTTTAGCGTCACTCCTCGCCTCCTGTTAGCTGCTGAGGGCTCACCGCAGGAGGCTCTCCCATCCCTAAAATAAGACGGAGAAAGCCGATTAAAGTGCTGAAAGCCTCGCTCAGTTTGTCCTGGTGATCAGTCTAATAGTGCTGGTCTCACCAATAGTGCTCTAACAGTCCTGACGCTGTGATGCGGTGTCTTATTACGGTGCTCAATGACTGAATTAGCAGCTATGCTAACGGTATGCTAACTATAGCATAGCTTATTCCTAGCTTTCCTCCGAAGGACCGTGTCAGAAAAAACTATTTATTTAATAAACTATATATATAAAAACAACGGGTAGATGTCTCACTGATGTTTTTACCCTAAAGTTTCCAATTATTACGTTGCTGTTGTTAGGTTGTTACCATAGCAACCTACCGTAAAACTGTTGGTATGAGATACTCATAGATTAGCTCCAGCTAACACAGAACACTAAAGCGTTTAGCTTCCCTTAACATAACTAAACATTTATCGGTTTTAATGAAACCTTGATTCACATCCCATCAGCGATTAATGCTGCGGCGTCATTTTAATCAAACAGGATCATTTAAAACATTTAAAACCGGTTTACGGCAAAGAAGCGCAGCAGAGATTTACTTCCATTATAAACGAACAGCAGCGCTTTGCTTTCATCATTTAGCAGAAGTTAAAATAATATGAAAGAGCAGCAAATAAAACATTACTAACTGATTGTTAACTATGGGCGACTTAAAATGAAAACGGAATTATGTAATAATACGTGTGTGAGACTTTAAACCACATATCCAACATACTTTGTTATTGATTAAATGCTAAAGCAGAATAAAAGCTCAGTTACTAACCTGTTGATTGTCGATTGTAGTTTATTTCATGAAGCTAACGAAGTTCACTCATATGAACATGCTTGCAGTTTAAGCTACAAGGAACCAATGAAAAATAAGCAGGGGGTGCAAACGGGCCAATAGGAGACTTCGAGATATATATATAAAAGAAATGGTTACCAGCCTGAGGAGAAGCATCCCGCTGCTGCCTGCGGGAAGGCGGGGCTTGACATCAAGCCCCGCCCACATCAAGGACAGCCATATTGGAAATTCTTCTTCTTCTTCTTCTTTTCATTAATGGCGGATTGCAAGTAACTTTTAGGTGCATACCGCCACCTACTGTACACGAGT